AAACGAAAGAATCGATTACGTAGTTTTTAAATAAAATTGGACGAGTGAAAGCTTACTTTAAATTTTTAATATAATTCAATAGCCATAAATAAAATACAACGATTATCGACAAAAAACTTCAATGTGAACTTAAGCAGTAAGAAATTAGTGAAAACAAGGAGGTTGGGTTATAGTTGAGGTGAAAATATTTAGAGAACGTTTTCTTTGTAAATAGTCACGCAATTTGTTAAACAGTAACGAATTTTTTTTCTGTACACGTGTTGACATGCATTAAAGAAATTGTCGTAGAAACCAAAAAGGCCTATAATTTTATTGTTTTTAAAAATGTTTAAAGAAGCGAGGATAAATTTACCTTTTGGAGTTTGGATTTTTTGTTGTTTTCATTGTGAATAATCTTTAACGATAAATTTTATAATTAATACTACAAGATGGTTTTCATGAATCTCATTTTAGAGATAATTTTGTAAAGTATACTACCACATGTTGTTAGTCAATCTCTTTATTTCTTATTTTCATCTACATTTATAATATCACAGAATAAACAATATACAATAACAATTAATATTATTTAATTATTTAAATGTACATTAGAAACATATTATTATTCGAATTTCTATCCTAGTTCAATGTTTTGAAATGATTTTAAAATAACAATTCAGCATTTTTGTTATTACGATATACATTGGGGTGGCACAAAATTGATCGAAAACATTTGATCGAATACATTTGATCGAAAACATTTGATCGAATGCATTTGATCGAAAAAACATTTTATCGAATAACAATTGATCGAAAAGAAAAATGATCGAACAGAAAAATGATCGAAAAGAATAATGATCGAAAACAAAATTGATCGAAAATAGATTTGATAGAAAAAGTAATTAATCGAGAAACCAAATATTCATAAAATTATAGAAAAATAAGAAAAATGAAAACAAAAATTACAAAATATCGCCCTAAAATGCACGAATTATCCGCAGCTAGCGCTGGTATCGCTTTTGCTTGCCCTACCATGACTTCGCACTGAGCGAATACTTATTATGTAGCAAGGGACTGTATTGATTCATGTACTTGCGCGTCTCGATTTTATTTGCCTTTTTAGGCGTCGAAAAAAGATTTTTTATCCTCATGTACCCATTATTTCTAGGCCTTTCTGTCTCTTGGCGATATTTTTATCTCATCTATTGTTTTTTCTTTTCCTTTCCTATTTTTTTAATTTGGTCTATCGTTTTTAGTCTTAGTCTTCCTCTTTTTTTCTTAGCTAATTTTGAAATTATTGTTCTTGTTATTCTATTTGTATTCATTATTACAAAGTGTCAACACCAGTTATTTTCTGTTTCTGTTTTATTTTACCCCACTCGACCATTCACTGTTGGGTTCTAATTAACAGTGCTGTTCCTAAAGTGGCGCTGGGAAACAGTAACAAATCCTACACAGAACACGAGGCTAATTACCTTAGCAGTCGATGCCGATGACACCAAATTAAAAAAAAAATTACTTAATCTGTGCGGTCTAGAATCATCGCTGGTGCTTCGCAAAAACAAAAAATAAAAAATAAAATAAACTTAAGTAACGTACCTAACTTACCTAACTTGTGCGAAAGCAATCAGTTAAATTTAAATAGCACAGGTTAGGTAAATTAGTTTTTTATTTTTATATTTTTTTGTGAGGCAAACCGCAACGTTTCCAGACTGGAGCAATTTAACTGATTGCTCTGATACATATTAGGTAAATTAGTTAAGTTTTTTAAAAATAAAGAAAATTTGTTTAATTTACCTAACCTGTGCGGCCTGGAGCAATTTAACTGATTGCTTTGACAGAGTTTTTAAAAAACCTAAAAACCTAACTAACTTACCTAACCCCTGTCAGAGCAATCTGTTAAATTGCTCCAGTCCGTACAGGTTAGGTAAATAAGTTAGGTTTTCTTTATTTTTTCCTTTTTTGTATAATTTTTTTTTGCGAAGCCTCCCTCGAGGTCTCCAGGCCGCACAGGTTAGCTAAATTAGTTAAAGTTTTTGTTTTTAGTTCTCTTATTTTTCTATAATTTTTTTGCAAGTATAACCGCGTAGGATCCACGCCACACAGGTTAGGTCAATTATTTAAATTTTTACTTTCCTATCTGTATACAGATATAAGGAAAGTATAGGAATCATGATTTTTTTCGACCTCGAGTTTTCGACGGATTTTTACGTTTTGAGGTCCCCTGAATCCGTTTTGACTATTTTCGCGATGATGTCTGTCTGTGTGTGTGTGTGTGTGTGTGTCTGTATAACGCATAACACATGAACTGATACACAGAAAAACACCAAATTTTAAACTTAAGTTTTGTTTCAGCGTCCAATGAGCTCAGTAGATTTTGGGCAGAGTCGGAACATCTGGGGGGGTACTTTATGCGTGGTCATTTTTATATTTTATAAAATATATCTGTTATTTACGTTTGGAGAAGAAAATTCTTCAAATAAAAGTTACTTCTAATAAAATTATCTATAATTTTTGTTTTATGAAAAATTTTCCTAAAATGGTCCGTATTCGAGAAATTTGACAAAATGTAAAAAAAAATAATTTTTTAGAAAAATTGTTCAAATAAAAATTGTTTGTAATATAATTCTCTATAATTTTTATTATGTACATAATTTCTCTAAAATAGACCGTATTCGAGATATTTAAGAAAATGTGTAAATTTCGAATTTTGAAGAAAACTCAAAAATGGATAAAGAAAAAAACATTAAATTTTAAACTTAAGGTTTATTTCGGCCTGACGTGAAATGATTAGATTTTAGACATAGTCGGAACATCTGAGGGGGTACTTTATGGGAGGCCACTTTTATATTTTATGGAATATATCTGTTATTAATGTTTGGAGAAAAAAATTGTTCAAATAAAAGTTACTTTTAATATTATTATCTATATTTTTTGTTTTATGTAAAAATTTCCTGAAATGGTCCGTATTCGAGAAATTTGACAAAATGTGCGAAATTCTAATTTTTATGAAAGTTTCTGAAATAAAAGTTGTTTGCGATATCGATCTCTATAATTTTTGTTTATACATGATTTTTCTAATGAAAAAATTGTAGGAAATTTAAATTTTTCAGTATTTTCGTTTTCCATGAATATCTATAGAAAAATGTTTCGAGGTAGATGTATGTGGACAATGTATATATTTAGTTTATCCTCTAAACATTTATAGAGATGCTGCAATAGGTTGTACAAAATAACCGGAAAAAGCCTATAATAACTAGATAGGAAAGTCATGTGTTGGACACATCAGATTTTTCATAATAAAAAAAACTAAACTAACTTACCTAACATACGCGAGATCAATTAGTTAAATTTAAATAGCGCAGGTTAGGTAAATTAGTTAAATTTTTTATTTTTCCCTTTTTTTGAATAATTTTTTTTGCGAAGCTACCCTCGAAGGATCCAGGCCGCACAGGTTAGGTAAATTAGTTAAAATTTTTGTTTGAATTTTTCTTATTTTTCTATAATTTTTTTGCGAAGCAAACCGCGATGGCTCCAGGTCGCAGAGGTTAGGTAAATTAATTTAATTTTTTATATAAAAAAAATTAAAATAATTTTCCTAAAATGTCTCATCGGGAGACAACTCGACCTTATTGAAATGCATATTTTGTGCGAATTAATCACATTTCTTTAATCCCAATGAAGATAAATAACCGTTTAGCTCTAAAATAATTATTTTTAAATTAACAGTATTGTAAGGATAAAATTTGTTAAACGAGGTAGCTATCATTTGATATTATTGAAAAATTTGACATTAGTACTTAATTTTGATAGCCGCTTAGTTTAGTTTCCCTGGTAGTAGGGATTAGACGGACGGTTGAATGGTATCGTTTGATTTTTTTGATATTTTACTATTTTTAATGTTGATTTTCGATATATTGTCCTTTCGATCTATTGTCTTTTTGATAAAATGTTATTCGATAAAATATATCTTCGATCAAATGTATTTTCGATCAAATTTCCAATTCGATCAAATGTTTTTCGATCAATTTTGTGCCACCCATACATTGAACTTGAAATGAAATTGAAATAGTTTATAGTACCTGCATATGAAAATAAACATTTTAATTAAATAGAATTTATTTCATATACAGAATGTTAATTTAGCATGTAAATATAAAGTAAAATGTTCAAATCTGAACACATTGCTTTACTCAAAATTTTGTTGTGTAACTTACTGATTGAAAAGGGTCAAGAGAGAACATGAATCGCTAAAGGAGAATTTAAATATGAAACAAACTATGCTTGTAAAAATATTTATTTTAATTAAAAAAAAAAGAAATTATTTTACATAATTTCTCAAAGTGAATCGTATTTATTTAACAAGCAAAAGAAATTATGAAGAATTACTTCTTTTTTATTTCAAATAAATATTTACAAGGTAATGAACTTGTGTGTGAAGTACCCAATTGTGAATCAGCTACATCGATTGTAGGTGATGCTGCAGTGGCATGCGGTCACATTTTTGGAAGGGGAAGCGATTGTATAAAAATACAGCAGGCCAGTAAGCACAGCGCCGCCGGCTAAAATTTTTCGCGGCGCATTCACCATTTTGTCAATATCTTGCCTTTTTCCTCAGTACTACAGATATTCGAGATTGAGATTTTTGAAGTGTTACTATTACTTTATTACCTAGTTTAGTACTAGAAGCTATAAAAAACCTTACCATTGAAAAGCTTCCTTGGTTTATTTAAACATAAAAAAAACATTTAACTGAAGATTTTTTATTTTTTCCAGCATTTTTCGCACAGTTGACACAGCAGTTTACATTTATTTATACTTAAGATCTATTCGCTTGTCCTCAATAGTTGCAAATTTGTCTATAACATCGTTTTAAAATTTTGAATTTTCTGATAACTGTTTAACAAGCTGTTTTTCAATAGATATTAGGGCTAAATTAGAGAGTCTGTCTTCACTTGTTGAATTTCGTATAAAACTTTTAATGCGATTTAAAGCTGAAAAACTTCGCTCAACTGACGCACTTGTGACTGGGATGGCTAGTACTAATTCACAAAACTTGACGACTTCACAAAGGGACTTATTTAAACCAGTTGTTATAAGAAAATTTAACACATTGATGGACGTCTTTTCATTACTAATTTCAGTTGTTTCATAAACAACACTTAACTGGTACTTTAATGCTGGAATATCGAAAAAATTTCATAATTTAATTTTAGTGAATTAAAAGCTTCCGATGGAAATTTGGATGAATCGTAGTTACTAATATTAAAATTGCACAATTCAACAAATTTTAATTCGTTAAAGTTTTGAAATCGAGAGTTCATTTGTTGTAAAATAGCGCGAGTTATTTTCGATGACTTTGAAAAGAAGGAAGCCAAACCACTGAGCGTCGAAAAGAAAACTTTGCAATCTTTAATATTATCCATGCTTCGCGATAAAACCAAATTAAGTCTATGTGCTATACAGTGAACGAAAATTGCATGGTTAAACTTCTCTTTCACTTTAGCTTGAAGGCATCCTAAATGGCCAGCCATTTGGGCTATGTGGGCTTATTTTTCATAGGCCACGTGGTAAATTTCACTCTTTTTTGTTATTAAAAAAAGATATTATGTTTGTTTAAAATTGATTCGAAGATTAAACGTGGAACTATTTTATGAGAACTTTAAAGTAGAAACAGTATTTGAATGTGCCATCAGAATTTCGATCCACTTTATTGGCAGGATGTAGCGAATTTCTTTTACCCAAAGACAATTATGAATAAATAATTTCCCTGTTTACTTTTCCTTACCTGACAATATCCTTTGAGCATTTCAATTATGGCTTCACATACTTCGGGTACAATTGAGGAGATTGATTGTTCCGATATTTTTTTTAAAAGGTACATTGAACCCGTAAACGAATCTCCTGTAGCGGTTTATTGCAGAGCAACCATCAATCTGAATGATGGTGGAATCGCAGCACTACCATTACTCAATAGTAACTCCGCCATTAAGTTGTCACCATAGCTTGTCCCATTTTGTGAAAACTGTCGCTGCCAATATCTTCTTTTTTACTTTCCTATCTGTATACAGATATAAGGAAAGTATAGGAATCATGATTTTTTTCGACTTCGAGTTTTCGACGGATTTTTACGTTTTGAGGTCCCCTGAATCCGTTTTGACTATTTTCGCGATGATGTCTGTGTGTGTGTGTGTGTGTGTGTCTGTGTGTGTGTGTGTGTGTGTGTGTGTGTGTGTGTGTGTGTGTGTGTGTGTGTCTGTGTGTGTGTGTGTGTCTGTATAACGCATAACTCATGAACCGATACACATAAAAACACCAAATTTTAAACTTAAGCTTTGTTTCAGCGTCCAATGAGCTGATTAGATTTTGGGCAGAGTCGGAACATCTGGGGGGGTACTTTATTGGTGGTCATTTTTATATTTTATAGAATATATCTGTTATTTACGTTTGGAGAAGAACATTTTTCAAATAAAAGTTACTTCTAATATAATTATCTATAATTTTTGTTCTATACAAAATTTTCCTAAAATGGTCCGTATTCGAGAAATTTGACAAAATGTAAAAAAAATATTTTTTATAAAAATTGTTCAAATAAAAGTTGTTTGTAATATAATTATCTATAATTTTTGTCCTATACATAATTTCTCTAAAATGGACCGTATTCGAGATATTTCAGAAAATGTGTAAATTTCGAAATTTGAAGAAAACTCAAAAACGGATAAAGGAAAAAAACAATAAATTTTAAACTTAAGGTTTATTTCGGCCTGACGTGAAATGATTAGATTTTGGACAAAGTCGGTACATCTGGGGGGGGGGTACTTTATGGGAGGCCGTTTTTATATTTTATGGAATATATCTGTTATTTATGTTTGGAGAAGAAAATTGTTCAAATAAAAGTTACTTCTAATATTATTATTTATAATTTTTGCTTTATGTCAAAATTTCCTGAAATGGTCCGTATTCGAGAAATTTGACAAAATGTGCAAAATTCTGATTTTTATGAAAATTGTTGAACTAAAAGTTGTTTGCGATATCGATTTCTATAATTTTTGTTTATACATGATTTTTCTAAAATGGACCGTAATGGAAAAGTGATAAATTTAAATTTTTCAGTATTTTCGTTTTCAATGAATATCTATAGAAAAATGTTTCGAGGTAAATGTATGTGTAAAATGTATATATTTAGTTTATCCTCTAAACATTTATAGAGATGCTGCAATAGGTTGTACAAAATAACCGGAAAATGCCTATAATAACTAGATAGGAAAGTCATGTGTTGGACACATCAGATTTTTATTTCTGGACATGGGAAGCAATTATGATGAGAGCAGCACTAACCTGTTAGCAGCAGTAGATAGATCCATTTTTAAATGCCACTTGCAAATAATGCGTTTAATTTGGAAGCACAACTGGTTTTGGTTTTGACGAGCAACATGTATCTGGATATATATATCTCGTTTATTTAGCAAAGCTAATAGTACATTACAAATAAATAAAATTACAAAAAATATTTATCTATATCTAAAATATAAAATATAACACTAAAATATCACAGATGCTGGCTCGTTAACATATAATCTCTTAGTTTATATTTAAAGGTATTAAATGAGGCGACATTTCGGAGTTCTAAGGGTATCTCATTAAAAGCTTGAAGTCCCTTAAAAAATATTGAATTTTGGGACTGTTTACGTGCAACTTGTGGAATATGAAAATTAGATCTATTTCTTGTGTTATAGTTATGATAGTCAAAGTTGTAATTGATTTTATTAAGTAAATAAGAGGGGACCAGTCCATGTTTAATTTTATAAATGAATATTAAAGTTAAGTACAGAAAATAGTTTTTAACAGAAAGCCATTTCAAATTTTGTAACATACCTAATATATTGGTCCTTCTATCACATGACAATAATATCCTCATTGCTCTATTTTGTAATTTCTGAAGTCTGTTGGTTTCATTCTGATTAAGTAAATACATAATGGTGGCACAATAAGTGAAATGAGGCAAAACTATACTGTTATATAAAAGAATCAATGACCATTTATTAATATATTTTGAGCACCGGTATAAGTAGTTGACTTTAAACGCTACTGTTTTAATGATATAGTTTGCATGATCTTTAAAAAACAACATATGGTCTACTATTACTCCCAGATATTTAATTTTTTTTACGACTTCAATGACATCATTTTCAATACTAATTTTCATATTATTTTCAGTAAATTCATTGTAATACCTAACATTCCCGATAATCATAAATTTAGTTTTGTTAATATTTACTTTTAACGAATTAAAACAACACCAATAATATATTTGCTTTAATGTGGTATTTATAGTAGCGGTTACTTCCTGCAAATTATTAGCAGAATAATACAGCAGAGTATCATCTGCAAACATATGTATGGAGCAACCACCTGCAACTTGAGAAATATCATCAATATATAGAAGGAACAATAGTGGGCCCAATACACTCCCCTGTGGTACGCCTAATTCATTTTTTTGTTCTTTTGATAAAATGTTTTTAAACCTTAATTTTTGTTTTCTATTGTCCAGGTAATTTATAAGCCATTCTAGTGAATTTTCAATAATACCAAAACTTTTTAACTTTTTAATCAGTAGAGATCGATTTACCGTTTCAAATGCTCTTTGTAGGTCTAAAAAAAGAGCACCTGTATTTAACTTGTTGTCAAGATTCTGTTTCCAGTCATTTAATACATATTGTAGTGCAGTCTCGCAGCTGTGTTTACCCCGAAATCCTGATTGATTACTATTAAACATATTATTTTCTTCCAAATATTCAATAAGTTGATTATATACTACTTTCTCTAAAAATTTTTCTACTGTACATAACATATTAATAGGACGTAAGTCCACTGCCCTATTTGAATTCTCAACCTTAGCTATTGATGTTATTATTGAAATTTTTAGATCGTCTGGAACAGTATTAGTCTCTAACGAGGAATTTATTATATTTATCAATGGCTTAGCAATATTTTCGAAACAGTATTTTAAAAACAGTACATTAATTTCATCAGGACTTCCTTTATTCGACATATCAAAAACAATTTCTTTTAAAGTATCAAAACTAACAAGATTAAACTTTTTAAGACTTACATTATCATTTTTAACAATAATGGGAAAATCATTAACGTTCTGATTTATATTAGATACTAAGTCAATTATACTATCAATGTAATATGTGTTAAGTGCATCTGGCATTTCAATTATGTCTTTTATAATTAAATTTTCATTTATTTAAATTTCTACAAGATCATTTTGTTTATAGTTTTTGGGTAACAGTTCCTTCATTACATTCCATAATTTAACAGAATTATTTTTATTTTCCATAATTTGAGAGTCATAATATTTTCTCTTTTCATTTCTAATAGTTTTAACAGCCATATTACGTTTCTGTTTATATAATTCTTTATTTTGTTCTGTTTTGTTTAATACATAATTTTTGTAAGCCTTATCCCTATCTATAGTTGCTGTGTGCACTGTGTCATTCCACCAAACTCTAAATTTTGGAAAAATCTTAATAGTTCTCTTTGGTGCCACCTCATTTAAAACCCTCATTACTTTTTCATAAAAATCCTTATATTTGGCATTAATCCGTAATCTATAATTCCATTCAACTTTAGATAATTTTTCATTAATAGTATCATAATCGATAATTCTACCTCTACTTTCAATTAATTGTGGTTGCTTGGTTAGTGCCAAACAGTCTAGATATATTAAAATATTAAAATGTGTACTTATTCTAGGCGATGTAACAATTTCTACCCTAATATTTTCAGAATTAGTTATTACAAGATCTATAAGTGAGCCACCATTATTACTATTGGAGGGGTGGGTAACTTGTGAAACAATATTTTTCAAACCAATGTCAGAAATACAATTTTTTAATCTGCTACTGTAAGTATTATCATGCATCAAGTCAATGTTAAAATCACCTGTTACAATTATATTAAAATCACAATCACATAAAAAGTCATCTGCAAAATGTTCAAAAAAGTCTAAAAAATCCTTACAAGAACTACTAGGAGATCTGTATAAACTAACAACTAAGTAATTACTTTTTTCAACTAAAAATTTCAATAGTATTATCCAATATTTTTTTTGTGTACAAAATTTTTTAAAACTCAAAACCTTTAATTGATTGTTTATGTAGATTAAAGCCCCACCAGTGTGCCGACTATCACTATTAACCCTATAACTATTATAACCATTTATAGTAATTTCAGAATCGAATATTTCATCAATAAGATGTGTTTCAGAAAGGCACAATAATAATGGTTTTTTTGACGTAACTATAGCTGAAATTTCATCAAAATGACATAGTAAACTTTGAGCATTAAGTGATAAAATGAAACATGCAAAGTTTTTATTTATTGTTTTTTTAGATAATAGTTTAGTTTTACTGTTCCCTCTGTTTAAGTAATGTCAATAATTTTTTTGTTGGATGGAAAATCCATATTTTCTGTACTAGTAGGGACTGTTATATCACTTAAAATTATAATCTTTTCATTGTTATTTGATTTAGGAGTATTTCCATCTATGCAAGCAGTTTGATTATCAGTTTCAATAAATACTAAATTATTTCTGTACTTTACTGAACATATTTTATTTTTAATCAAAAATGCTAATTTCTTATTATTCAATCTATAACCATTCTTATCATTAACATATAAAAAAGAGAAGGAGTTTTTTTGATACCAGTCTATATAACTTATAAAACCTGATAATTTAGAATTGAAATTAATTATTTGTTTAATATTAGTTTTAAATTTAGGTATTGATAGAAAAATTAAATTTGTGTGCAAGCACTGTTTTAATTTATAACTAATATTCTTAATGCTAGGATACCTGTTTTTTAATATGTCGTTTTTTCCTGCCATAATAACTACATAATCATTTGAGTTAAAGTTTTTAGTAAGATTTTTAATATCTTCTAGTATTCTATTAAATTCTGCTCCTGGTTTTAAAATTATTTCAATTGACGCACTTTCTCGATAAAAACACTTTCTTAATTCCCTGTCCAAACCTCTTCCATTTTCATCTGATAATATCAAAATCTTTTTCTGTTTCTTGGCATTCTGTGGTTCAATGTTGTCACTTTTAAAACTCGTATTCTTGATGTCAATGTGTAAGCTTTTTAATTGGTTTAGGTACATTATATTGTCTTTTGCTAAGTTTTCAATATCTTTCATCAGCTTAACGTTCTTATTTTTTAATTGATTAAGTTGATCAGTCATATTTCTTTGGTTGTCTTCCAATGCAAAATTTAAAACTCTACATTCATTTATATTTTTACTTACATCCATAAAATTTTCGTTTTCAATTTTAAGTATCCCAATGGTTTTCTCATAATCAATATTTTCAGTTTCCAACATCCTTATTGTTGTTACCATGGTCCTGTTTATAGAATCCAACTCCTTGACATCCAGTTGCAGTTTTAATATTATCTCATCTTTTTTCATTATGGTTTTATCATATTCATTTATTGCACACTGTGCACTTTGAAGTTTCGAGTTGAGAGACTCAATTTCCCTATACTGCTTTGTAATTTTCGCTTCAAATGTTGACTCTGCATCTATTACTAAGTTTTCGAAACTTTGACTGCTTCTTTTTAGTCTTTTAATATGGTCTTCTTTATCTTATAAGTTGTTGTATCCAATTATTTAATGCCTGGTTTGTACTTACCTTTACACTATTTACAGAAACTACAGAAATTAGAACTAACCCCGACTCTTCACAACTGAAGATTACATTATACTACTTTTCGAATTTTAACCAACTACCCTTCGAGGCGTCTAAAGACACACTCTCTATGAGAACAGATGCTGAGCACATGTCATTTACAGAGATAGAAATTTTATCCAATATTTTCTAGAATTTGTTATAAAAGGAATTAATAATATAATAATAATAATAATAATAATAATAATAGTAATAATAATAATAATAATAATACTTTATTGATTCCAAAACATTTAAGTTTACAGCAAGGATTTGGGTTTTAAAAAGTATATACATTTCTAATCCTATGTAATAGTAGAACTATATAAAAATAAAAACAAAACATAATATATAAGTATAACTAAATAATTAAATCATTTTCCAAGTAACAATGCGAAAATCCTTTCACTTATTACAAACTTTCTAAAACGTTCTGTATACAGATGAATACAATGATTTAATTCAGGATACAAAAAACAAATTAATAAGGAATTACTCTCTAAATTGTTCGGTCGGAATTTGAAATACAAAGCCAAATTACTACCATATGCAATAATGGTACAACGCTCGAATTCAGAAACTTTGAGTTTCAACAATGATTTATAATAATAAAATAAAATAATTTATTATTGGATAGCGGTTCAAAGAATTTGAACAACCGTGATTATTTTAACAAATAAAAAAATATATAGATGTATTTACGAATAGCAAATAATGTTCATTTAACAAATAATAAGTAGTCGTTTAAAAGTAAAGTTTGCAACACATGCGTTTTTCTCACTTGTTGCTCAAACTGCTATTGTTTTTGAATTCTCGGTGATTACTGTAATAGCAAACAATTATTTAATTAAAATTATTAATGATCATTTTTATTTATTTTTTTTTATTTTTTTTTTCAGACTATCGTGTCTGAAGACACGGATAAATCAGATGCCATTAGACAAAAAAAAGGAAACGAAAAACAATATTCATTCGATGTAGTTTTTGGAGAGGATTCTACACAAGAGGAAGTGTACAAAGTTACCACAAAAAATTTAATTACGGATATTCTTAATGGGTAAGCCACAAATATCAGATTTAAATAATCGTTGTTTGCCTAAATATTATCAATTAAAGATATAAACCTTTAAACATTTTTTGTAGATGTATTAATTATTGAAATTCAACTTATTATCAAGAATAGGACCTAGCTATTTTACTGAGAGTAGATTAGATGAGTTTAGATTAAATAAGGAGTTGGACATTATTTGTCTTTGTCCAATCCGAACGGTTAGGATCTGTCGTGGGACTCCGTTATTTAGAGTATGTCGCCTGGCTTGGTCTTTTTTATTAGACTAGTAACTTTGAGAGTAGCTCCCGCATGTAGTTACAATCTTCTGGCTTTTCTTCACTTATTGTTAGAAACCTAAATATAGCCAAGCCTTCACACTAGAACGGAACTTGGATTGATGTTTCATTTTCTTCTTCGCAGAACCTGCACAATGTTGTTTCTCCTACTTGATTGATGACACTCATGTGCCTATTGTTATCCTAACGATATGTTGTTTTTGATCCAGTAGGTCTTTCGTGAATTTGGCCGACGGTTTCTTAATGAACTCCTTGATCTGTCCTATATAGTTATTCCACCATTAATGGATAGCTTGCACAATGCCTTAGCATCTCCACAGAAGGGTTCAGGGCCTTATCTGAGCCTTATCGGGCTAGTTTGTCGACCTTGCCCTGATATACTTCGATGCCTGGTACCCACTGAGGGTTGGTTAGATATGTTGATTATAGAGATCGGTCTTAACTCATGATATATCTATCATTGTTTGATTTTTTGTTGAACTATTGAGCAACTTCGTTGTAATGATTTTGTAGTAAAATCTAATGAAATATGTTATTTGCGTATTGGAGGGTGTAATTTACTGAGTTGAAGTGAATCTGATCCAAAGGGAAATCAAAGTATGTTATATATTGTATAGGAGCAAAGAAAGTGGCGAATCTTGCGATAAACCTTGACGTGCAATGAAACTTTGAGATGGGTAGTTGATTAAATTAACACTATAGTTCTGTTTTTAAGGAAATTTTTCATAATATTTATAATACCATCGGCAGATTAAATTTTTTTAGTTTAAATAGGAGACCATTGTGACAGAAACTGTCAAAAGCCTTATTAATGTCCAACACGACAATTCTAAAATTTATTCATCACTTTTATTGTTTGAACATTAAACACCAGCAGGGACGTTGATACCAGAGTGAAAATACGAGAATGGGATGACCTATAGTGGGCTATGATTTTGATCTATTGTTTTTTGTTTTTCTCTCTTGGTGTGGACATTATTGACCTCATCCTCGTATGTTTTCTAAACCCAAATTGAAATTTCGGGATTCGGTCGTTTACCTATTAATGATAGTAGTCTGTTATTTAACGAGTTTTTCAAATAATTTTCTCAAAACTAGAAGAAGGGTGATTGGACTATAATTATTAATTCTGTTGTAGTCTGTAGCTGGGTTTGGAATAACTACAATGGGGGTAGTTTTTCATCGATCTGGAAAGTTTGAATTTTTGTAACACAATAAATAGGTGTTATATTCTAGTTTTTCATAATATACCTTGAAATCATGTACGATCCTGGATAGGAGTTTTTTTGATTGGATAAGATTTGAAATACATGAAAATATTTTTCATATATTTCTTTTTCAACACCATTGATGAATATATTTGATTGAAATTCTTTGATTTCATATGATACGACTACGACAAAAGTGTGCTGGATCCTGTATATTATTCAGAATATAAAATTGACAGGAATTAAATTATAGCTATTTATGCAACCAGTTACGTAATGTCTTATTTTATGTGACGAGTGAATATGTGCGTGACGAGCAGAGCGAGGCCCAGCAACATGAACGAATTACATAAAACGGCATTTCGTAACGTATTACATAAAATATTTTATCTAATTTAGACTAGATTATTTATAAAATTGTGATTTGGTAAAATATTACTGATATCTAGGTAACCAATATTACTTTCTTGTATTGTTAGTTGCATATGCATAATTTTACTCATTTCATTGTCAAACGGAAAATCATATTCATTTATTCTCAACGACTTGTAGTGTATTTATATTGCTTGTTATAGTTATTTAGTTTTCCAGAAAATGGGTTATTTTGTCGTGTATTTTTATAAGTCAACCTGCTTTTCTCTGCAAAAACTTTCAATAATAATGCATAGGTATATTGATTTTAAAACCAAAAAAGGTTTATTTTTATTTGTTTTCTTTTCACAACTGGTGACATAATGAGTTTTTCGTAATTAGTTGTATAATGTTATGCAACATGTTAAGTAAAATAGATCATTTTGTCACTTGCTGCGATTACAAAAAATTTCACTTATGTCAAAATTATAAAAAATAAATAATGTGTTTGTTTTAGGTACAATGGTACTGTATTTGCGTATGGAGCAACAGGAGCTGGCAAAACACATACGATGGTAGGTACTAGATCTGAACCTGGAATAATGATACGGGCCCTCAACGATCTTTTTGAAGCAGTTAAGGATAAAGAGGATGAATATTCGGTAATTACTTTTTCAAATTCAAATAATTATTTTATGTAGTTACGAAGAGCTCTTAAATTAATAAAACTGGCGAACTAATGTCAAAACCACAGCATTCTAGATTTGAATCACCTTATGCCACATACTTTGATTATTATACGCTGCAAGAGAGAGGTCCGACACGCCCAACATAGGGCGCGCCCATTTTGATTCCTATGCCACAGTTTATAGCTAAAGAATCAGATCGCTCACTCTGCGTCGGCACTTTTGATCTCAATGTTTCAGTTTATACACTGCGCAACTCGGATAATACAATATGACAACCGCCTATAATAAAACAGCAGTCTTCTGCGTATCCTGAATTTGTATCCCTGGAGTGGATGTTATTTTGGAACTTTCAACTGGTCCGAGTGAGCTAACTGATTCTTTAGCAATAAACTGTGACTCCAAAAATAATATTCACTGACACTGACAGCAGCAAGAAAAATATCAGGTGCGTTTTAATCATCCGCTTCTGCTTCTGGAATTGTCGGTTTAGTCGTTTTAACCTGTCAGATTAAAACAAGAAAACCAACAATTCCGAAGCAGAAGCGGATGATTAAAACGCACCTATTAAAAATATTGCGCCAAGATGTAGGCAACACGTAATAAGGGATCAAAATGGCGGAGTTTTCTATCTCCTTTTAAAAGGCACTCAGAAAGCTGCGCAGTGCGACCATTCTCCGTATAGTAAAAGAAAATCAAAGTATGTGCCTTATGCATAAGTTCTGAGTGCAAAATCCAGAGAGCCAACTATTTAAATAACTATATCTATCGCGAAGTAGAAGGTAAGACTCTCACTGGTAGTATATAAAAAGAGGAAAGCCAAATATTAATAGATATTATAACTTATTTGACATAAGCATACTGACATGACAGTAATTGTTTAATTGTTATCAATAACAGTTATAAGAGAAATTGAAAATGTTTCAGTATAAATTTTTTATATTTTTTAATAAAAAAATAATGCATGAGACATGAACTTAAGAAGTGTTTTTTCGTATTCACCCGAAAAACTCAACGAACGTTACGTCCTTGTAACATAAACTACTATTTTTTAAATCTGAGTTGAAGTAACCTATAACATTACTAAATTATTAACTACACGCTTTAAATTTTCAACGAACAACTGATTTTGATAAAAATTACAAGCTTAATATACCTACCTATTTTAAAATATGGAAAGTCCAATGCCTCTAGTGTAATATAATATGAAAGCCATATAAAAAAATAATGACCCATGATTTTGTATGTATAATCATAATCCCACAAGTTAATAATCATATAATACAGAAAAATGCATGTAATATGTGTATGTACACATTATTTCGTGAATAAATGAATATTTCTGGGAATAATAAATGACACCCTAACAGTGATTGATGAAAGAAACCAATGAACGATGGCTTGTATAATAGCAGGGTAACGATTTATGTTCTTCAGAAATAACGTTGTTTGAAAGCACCTGTCTGGTACACAAAAGTCTCTCACTTAAAGGATATTTCTTTGAAACAGTCTACTTTCCTACTTTAATAAGGTTATTCTGACAAAGGTGTCGTTCTTACCAGATATCATATTTTAAATTAAAATGTCAATTTAGATTCAAGCTAATAGGACTATCGATTAAAAATAAATTTAATAAAACCGTGTAAAAGGACTGGTATAAGGACACTGTATGATGGATATGAAATACATCAATCACATTTTAATGACCAGTCACCGGTCTACTATACGCTAAATTAGTAGTTCCACTGACATTTATAGTAACATTATTTTTTTTATTTTGTTTACCTAAATTATATTGTTTTTAAACGTTTATAAATATGGTTATTTCTACAGTAAGTTTGTCAAATTTTTCGAATACGGACCATTTTAGGAAAATTATGTATGGAATAAAAATTATAGATAAAATTACAAGCAACTTTTATTTAAAAAAAATTCTTCTCAAATCGTAAATAACAGATATATTCCATGAATTAGGAAAACTACCTTTTTTAAAGTACCCCCTAGATGTTCTAGCTATGCCCAAAATTTTAACAGTTCGCCGTAGGATGGATTAAAACTTAAATTTAAAATTTGGTGTCTTCACTTTTTCTCAAATATCTCGAATACGGTCCATTTTAGAGAAATTATGTATAGGACAAGAGAATAATATCACAAGTAACTTTTATTTAAATAATTTTCCTGAATATTTGAATTTTTTACTTTTTGTAAATTTCTCGAATACGAACCATTTTAAGAAAATTTTGTATAGGACAAAAATTAAAGACAATACTATAAGCAACGTTTATTTAAAGATTATTCTTTTCCAAGCGTAAATAACAGATATGGTCATGTGAACTGCGACAAAATTAACACGAGTGTTTTACAATATGCGATGATACCTATATAGACCGTCAGATAGTGACTGATTTAGGTGCCCCATTTTCGCATGCAAACCTCGAAGAGGGTTGAAAAGTACATCGATTTTGAGTAGAAAGAAAGGAAATTTACGAGCGGCCGCTGAGGATAACATATGGAAAATTCGATTTTCCTTAACAGAAATAAAAGGTGTTTTTTGCTCATTTTTCCACGCAAGCCGTTTTCACTATATGATTAATTAATAGAACTAGGCTTCGAAAAACCAAAGGCTTTAATGTTGCAAGTGGCTAAAGGGTTGAAATAAGGGTGTAATCTTATAAAGAAAAATCGATATTTTAACCGATTTTTCCACACAAGCCAATCGAGAGAATGAAAACATACATCGCAACTAGCCCGAAAAACATATTGGCTTGAGTGGCGCGAGTGGATAAGTCCATTTTAAGGTTTGAAAATTTAACAGACATTTTTTTCGATGTTGCAGTTTATTCCCATCAACGAAATTTTTTGCAATAAAAACTTATGACTTTAAGAGACCAGAAAAAAATAATGGCATGAGTGCAGAGCGTGGTCTTCATATTTTTAGAATATAGGAAAGTTGCTGGAAAAATGTATGCAAATTGCCACAATTTTCCCACACAAGCCGTTTGACATATGCTTAGAAAAAGTGATTCTAAGACTATATAACAAAAGGCTTGAGTGTCGGACATGGCCATCATATTATTTATATCTTTATAATTTATTCAACAAAAAGCTGACAAGAAAATCTAGAAATTTCCACCATTTTCTCACGTAAGCCGTTTGTCATATGCTTAGAAAAAGTAATTCTAAAACGATATAACAAAAGGCTTGAGTATCGGACATGGAGCATATTATTTATCTAAAAAAGAACTGACAAAAAAATTTACAAATAAATATTTATGCAAAGTTATTATTATTTATTGTTCGGTGATTATTCGTATAGTAAATTTTAATATGAATTTTAGTGCTGAATTAACAATATGTTTATTTTATAGAAAAATTTATATATTCTTTCAAAGGGCTATTAAATATAAACTTTAAAATGTCTGTTAAGGGTCGATCTTTTAACCTCTGAGTAAAGTTACATGTAGGTTTACTTGACAGATTAACAAACATTATTCCTATGGTTTAATCAGCAAGTAGTTACTTTCAACTTTACTCAGAGGTGAAAAGACTTGGCCCTATTAACAGATTCGTTACAAAGATATGTTGGTCCATTTTTGAAATTTTATAAAATTAATGTATGTATAAAATAAAAATGCAGCTACTAAACATGAAAAAGAATTTAATGATGACAATCAAGTATTCTATGGAATAGACACTTCGAAACAATTTTAAATTGCATTTATGTAAGGTATTAAAGCAATCAAGAATGTCATGAGATAAATCTTTCAACAGATCAAAATGATTTTCTTGAAGTCGATTATATATTATATAGAAAATGTTGATGTGCCTATGATATTATGTGACATTATTTCAAATTATACAAGTTATTAGATTAAATAATTATTGTGCGTTATTTTTTGGTTAAAATTGAAGTTACAGGTTGTTGTGTTCATTATATTAGTTATTTTTCTTCAAATTAAATAATTGGTAAGTACATTTATTTAGTTAATCAAATGAAATATTTGAATGGCTAAGTATTTATTTGCATTATTGCGCGTGCGCACAAGATGTACCTAACTTCACCAGGGCTAACTTCACTTCATTTCTAAAAATGAGGTATTTCATGTTTTTCTAAACGTAAAAACAACAACAATTAGGTTAGAATTTTTTGCAGTTCATTTTTCATTTTTTTTAATTTATTATGGCGAAAAGATTAGCTAAAACAAACTGTGAAATAGTATGAGAAGCTACCTACTTAATTTTGTTAGAAAAATAAAATTATTCTCAAGGGGAAAACAAATATATTAGATAAAAAAATTCAAACCATTGGCTAGCATTTACAAATCATATAAATTAAAAACAGATTTAAATACACTAAGAATTCAGATTATAGCAATATAGGTATTAGATAATTAATAAATAAACAAAGTGGTAATATAGACGTTGGGTATGTTATTCGAGGCTGTTGAGGCGATGCGTTAAATTGGGACATAACAGATGGAAAATAGCAGTAATGTGTTATGAAAAGTTTTCCATCATACGAACTTGCTTCGTTGCTGTTAAAACTCGTACATGTACGTTACGGATAACGTAAACGTTCAATAATAGGACCCAATACTTTACTTACGGTGATTCCTGTTGGACTTTTGTCTCCGTCTCGGTAATACCGCAGAATAATTAAAAATGGGTAGCAGCGTGTTTTACCCATGCAGTACGTTAACTTCAGAACAACGCTTAATTAGTATATAAATGTTTAATTTATGAAAATAAGCTGCAATTCCGGGATCTTTAAGCTAATATGCAATGTACTTTTAATGTAATCCTAATATCCATGCAACCACCGAACGTCCGCAACTGCGAGACTTTTGTAGCACATCTCATAGAGGTTACAAAGTGAAGTTCGTAAAACATCACACAAGCAGTTTTGCAGTATTTTTCCCCAAACGTTGTTCTGAAACGTTTTATAGATGTTATAGTTTTATAGATGTTATAATGTG